ACGTGTTCAATGCCACGTTGCGTGAGACAATTATGCAAATTATCGGCAGGAGAATTGTAAGAGTTTGAATATTTGCCCTCATCAATTTGCATATTACAGCATCAGCAATCTTCTGTCTTCTGTCTCTTAAGTGTTGAACTTGTGTGCATCTGGTAAATCCTTTTCTCGTGTTTTTCTTTTTTTTTTTTTGCCTAACGTAAAGATGGCCCTATTTTAGCTGCCGGTCATTACTGATGAAATACAATTAATTTTTTGAAAAAAAAAAAAAGACAAAAAAGAATACCACACCATAATTATCTAGATTGTTTAGAGAGTCAGTGTGGGGAATCCAGTGCTAGTAATATTACTGAGATACGCAGATATCTGGCGCACCTCTTTTATCCTGAACTGCTGACAGGTTGCCAATGACCGCGCTTTTTACGTAAGCCTTCCTTCCTTCATGGATGCTAAAACCATCGGTTATAAAAGATTTTGCGGGTTAAAGTCATAAAACATAACAAACGATGAAAAGATACTAGAGGTCGTGCAAACCGAAAATCATCATAAGCAAAATTTTCATGATTTTACAGAGTCGCAACTACTGAGCTTGATTTCTAAGCAATCTTCGAAAGTGGGATTTATCGATAGCCTTATCATTGAGCAGTTGCTGCTGGCATTCGCCACCGTTCGGGCTAATTCGAGTGCCTCCAGTTCTTATGGAAAGCAGTTATAAAGGAGACCTTTTTTTGGCTTTTTCGATTTTAAATATGAAACCGACAAACCTTAGGTTACAATCTGGCTGTGCATTTCGCGGAAATCGTCCGTAGATATCGTCAACGCAGGCACCGTAAGTGAAGAATGTATGATAAACTTCTTCACATTCATCTTCGCATCGTAACCTCGACTCTTTATCCGAATACATGAAGTAGCTGCAAAATGTTTCACATACTGAATTTGAAGTGCCAAACCCAAAAATTCCTTCTCTTGGCAATTCAACCACCGGAAACAGCTCTTGGACCATTTGTGGCCCAGGTACTGCTAGAGCTTTGACCAAGAGTATCCAACGTTCACTAGGATAGTTTAATCCTTTATCTGGGAATCGATCATCTTATAGATTTTCAAAGATAAAATCATCAGAAACGAATTATTTACTTCAGCCGTTATTCAGAAATTTGTTTGGATCATTTCAAAATAATGTCACGTTAT